AAAAAAAAAAAAAGAGCAGTCAGATGCAACTTTTCTTTTGTTTGTTTGAGACAGGGTCTCACTTTGTCACCCAGGCTAGAGTGCAGTGGCACGATCATAGCTCACTACAGCCTCAACTTCCTGGGCTGAAGCAATCTTCCCACCTCAGCCAGCTGAGTAGCTGGAACTACAGGCGCACACCACCACACCCCACTCATTTTTTAGTTTTTTGTAGAGACAATGTCTCACTGTGTTGCCCAGGCTGGTCTCGGACTCCTGAACTTAACCTATCCTCCTGCCTTGGCCTCGCAAAGTGCTGGGATTACAGGCTCACCCCTGTAATCTCAGTCTACTGCACTTGGCCACACATTTTCTTAAAGAAGCATAAAAAATTGGGACTCATTAATGCTTCAAAGCCTATGCTTTTAACTAAGAATTGGTCCTAGCTATGAAATATACATACATATATACATTTATGTTTGAGTCCAAATATCAGAGAAAATGGAAATCTGTAGACTAGAATGGTATTGCCATTTCTTCAATCAGAGATGGCAATATTCTATATGCAGGGTTTCTTGTGACCAGCGTTTCTGTTTGACTCATTGAAGTAGTGATGTATTATATCAGAATAGTCTTTCGCTCGTCTGTGGCCTAATGTTTTAAAAAACAGTATGATCTCCTCCAGTTCAGTCACCTAAAAGCAGTTGAACTCCCACAATGTAAACAGCAATGAAGAGCCAGGCACGGTGGCTCACACCTGTAATCCCAGCACTTTGGGAGGCTGAGCTGAGTGGATCACCCGAAGTCAGGAGTTCAAGACCAGCCTGACCAACATAGTGAAACCCCGTTTCTTTAAAAAAAAAAAAAAACCAGCAATGTGTATGTAGTGCTGTGGGTTGTGGGTAACCTGAGGATGTTAAATGGCGCTTCCCTCCTCTCCCCACACCACACAGAGCATATGTCCTTGCTGGGAAGATGTAACATGTGTAAGTGGAAATATACCACGAACCCCAAGAGTGTTTAAAAACAGTTTGCAGTGGGGCACAGTGGCTCACGTCTGTAATCCCAGCACTTTGGGAAGCCAAGGTGGGCGGATCACCTGAGGTGAGGAGTTCGAGACCAGCCTGGCCAACATGGTGAAACTCTGTCTCTACTAAAAGTACAAAATGAACCAGGTGTGGTGGCACACACCTGTAGTCCCAGCTACTTGGAAGGCTAAGGCAGGAGAATCGCTTGTACCCAGGAGGCAAAGGCTGCAGTGGGCCAAGATCATGCCACTATACTCTAGCCTGGGCAACAGAGTAAGACTCTGTCTCAAAAAAAAAAAAAAAAAAAACAGTTTGCAATGAGAACTGGAAAGTCTTAGATACAGGCTTAAGGACGCTTTCATCCAATTTCACCATTTTACAGGGAGAAAGTTGAGACCCAGGAGGGGAAAGGGCTTGCCCAAGGTCACACAGATCATTGCTTTCCAAATGAGTAGAAGAGAGAGTAAACAAGGAAGCACAAAGATTCCTAGCCTCGAAGGCCTAGGCCTTGCTCCTAGGCTTGCTGGCCTGTAAAATGGCCAGACGATTTAAATGATTTAGAAAGTCCATTCCAATTCTGGAATGTCCTGGGGTCTGTCAGTGCCATGTTTGGGAAGAGGGGCAAAATCAGAGGATATGGTCTTCTAAGGTAAATTGCTGTATCTGAGGCTTTGGTGTTATCAAGTGCCTAGTACAGTGCCTGGCATAATACAGTCACTCAATAAATTAAGAGTGAATATTTTTCCAAGATAGGAGTCACTCTGGTTCGTAACAATATTCCTTCTGTGAATTCACTGGAGGGAGATGGAATGAACAGGGGATGCTGAGCACAGGAGTGACAATAACAAAGATGTTTCCACACAAGGCAGAGGCACCATTTTGGACTGCCTGGGCTTTGAAGATGGGTAGGAAGGCCCAGGCCACCATGAAGCCTCAGTTTAAGGAGAAGAGGGTAAGACGATGCCCGAGGGGCCACACCTTCTTGAGTTTATTCACCAGGAGCCAGTATTAGGCTGGGCCAGGAGTATCCACACCCTCATTACTTGTGAGCTTTCGGGAGAGCAAAAGGCTTATGTGCAGAGATGACTCAGGCCCACAAAAACAAGAAAATCTTGATTAAAGGCCAATATGGCAGCTCACAGCTCCTTTGTGGGTACTGTGTGCACAGTCAGCCTTCTGAGGATAGTTTCCCAAGCGGAGATGAAAAATTGGGATGCTGGAGAGGGTGCGCCTGGGGAGGGTGCACAAGGCACAGTCCTAGGATGTGGTCCTACTCTTTGTCCTCAGGGCCTACCTGGGACACCTGGGACAGCCCTCCTGATCATGTATCTTCAATGTTTTGCGTAAGGGCGGGTGACCATTTCCCTCCCAGTGGAACATGAAGGAACATGCTCAGGTAGCTCAGGAATTATTGAGGACTTGAGAGAGAGGAAAAGAAGGAGATTTGAAAGGAATAATTGCCCTTTAGCTAAGTAGATGGAGGTCGACAGAGCACAGTTGCTCCCTCAGCAGGGGCAGTGTGGCTGGAAACAGAAGAAGGGAGCCAAGATGGGTTCTGTTAATGAGGTGAGAGGAGAAGGTGCTAGCCACACCTTCCTGTCCCCTGCCTGTGCTCATGCTCCCCGACTCAGGACAAATATATAGGGCTGGCTGTAACCAAATTTCAACACAGTTCAAGAAACCAACTGAGGCAGTTAACTGACTGTGGAAAACAGCAATCAGGGTTCCAAGGGCAAAGTAGAACTCACCGTGGTGTCAGCACAGTTGCCTGCAGCACAGTGCATTGATGAGGGCCTTGGGAAACCTCCTTCCCTTTGACATTTTAAAGCAGCTGGTTCCTGTGATATTGAGAGGTTTAGGATTTCTAAGCTGTTTACAGATGGACAAATGTGCACCTGTGGACATTTGTAGCAGGTCCAAGGAGTGAAGAAGGTTGAGGTTTTGGAATAAGATAGACCCAGTATTGAATCTCAGTTCAACTTTTTTACCAGATGTGTGACCTTGAGAAACTTATTTCTTGGGTCAATTTCCTCATTTATTTAAAACTGAAAAAAATTTTACAGTGTTGTGAGAACTAGAGTGTGTGTGTGTGTGTGTGTGTGTGTGTGTGTGTGTGTAATGCATGATTCTTAGCAGGCAGTCAATATTGTCATCATCATCATTATTATTAGTGACCATAACACTCAAATTTGTGTCTTTGAGCAGATTTGGGTTGTTGAGCGTTTGTATTCTAACTTACCAATTTATTATCATATGAATTCCATTTGCATGCCTGAGAAGTAAAAATATCCTCCTCAAGAAACTTATTGTGGACACTCAAGGCTCTGAACACCATGTTAAATGTATAGCCTCCTACCCACCCCATATTTGCTCATCTTCTAATTTTGGAATATACTAAATGTTTTGTTTCACAATATATCATAAAATGACCAACCTGGCCAGGCACGGTGGCTCACGCCTGTAATGCCAGCAGTTTAGGAGGCTGGATCATGAGGTCAGTAGTTCAAGACCAGCCTGGCCAATATGGTGAAACCCCATCTCTACTAAAAATACAAAAATCAGCTGGGTGTGGTGGCACATGCCTGTAGTCCGAGCTGCTCGGAAGGCTGAGGCAGGAGAATAACTTGAACCCAGGAGGCAGAGGTTGCAGTGAGCTGTGATTGCACCACTGCACTCCAGCCTGGGTGGCAGAGCAAGACTGTCTTAAAAAAAAAAAGACCAACTTGTTGATACAAAGTTCTACATGTTAAGATTTCTGTTGTTCTATCTTAGTACCTCTTAGTCACTTTGGTGAGCCATATGGCTTGATGATAAATCATATTGCGATTTATAGATTGCCAGTTGAAATAAAACCTATCTAAATCCTTGAGACATACATAATCATGGTACAGTGTGATTTAATCTATAATTTTGTGGCTATATGGAGCATGTCTTCTAAAAATATTTAAGCCAAACAATGCCATTGTGAGAAAGTTGTCGTTGTAACAAGTACCATGAAACAAATACATTGTCATTCGTTGTGTACAGTTATTTTTGAATGCCAAACTGTAGGCCGTGGCCTACTTAACGTTTGAGACCACAGAGTCCCAGTTTGACATAACATGGTTTTTGCCTGAAACTCTTTGGGATGGAAAGATGGTATAGTCCTACAGGAATAAGACCACCTAAGTGAGATCAACCTGTATGTTTTAAACTAGTAAGAGACCAGCTGCTTATATCATAAGTCACTTTGTTGAATGTACTAGGTCTACATCAGTGTTCACTGAGGTCTTCTAACAAATGTGATCATTACTAATTAATCCTGTTTACCCAGTGGAAACTGGTGCCATTTCTTAAATACACCGTGTTTATACCGCATCTCAAGTAAGCGTGCTATATAAGGACAATACTGAAACAGTGAGGGGCTACTGAATGCCACATACATACTGGCCTTCTCTCTCTGTCTCTCTCTCTCTCACACACACACACACGCACACACACACACACACACACACACACACCCCAAATCCAAACTGCAGAGAGGAAGTTTGTGGCTTCTGGGTCCTAGGATATCACTACTTTCAGAAATCTTTATCTTTCTTGGAAAGTCTTGCTTCTGAGCTTTAAGAATCATGGGCTCTGCAACTCTATGCTCTGCCCTCAGATGGTAGGAAAAAAAAAAAAAGAATCACGGGCTCCCCAGTCACACCACTGTCAGGGGTAAAGTAGACTGGAGCCCACGCGTGTTAAGTGATGAGTTATGCAGAGAGCCTGGCAGAGACAAATGACCTGCCAGGTCAGGGGCAGCTGGATATGCCTTTTCCTTCCCTGTTTATCAAACGGGAGGACTGTTTACAGCCTGTTCAGTGGCATAGTAAATGTGAAAGCACTTAGTAAACTGTACAATAAAAGCTGAAATGAGGCTGATTGGTCCTAAGCCCTTTTGGGGCCTGCAGAAGCCAGCAACCCTCACAACTACCCTGGGAAGGATTGAGAGAGCAGAATAAAGTAGTTAGTTAAGCAAGGGGAGAATGAGAGCCTCCTGGATTCCTGCCCTTCCATCCCGGCACACCCAGGGCCCCCACTTCAAGCTATTCCAGTAACTTACTGTTCTGTTAACCTTGAGAAAGGCAGGGACCTTCTGCTTAATTCTCCACATGGCTGCTGTTCTGAAGTGGGAAGAGGGGCTGTAGAAGCAGAGGAGATCATTATTCACAGGAAATATTTTCTTGTTCTTTTTCATTAAATGCCTCTGGTAGGAGAAAGTGAATAAATAGAAACATTGAATACACTGCTTTTTCTGAGCCCATGGTCAGAGACAAAAGGAAAAGCACATGGTAAATAAAAGGGAATCTCCCCTTCCATTTTCTCTCCTTTCATTCAATTTTCTGACAAGACCAGAGCGGAGCGCCCCTTGTGTCACATGCTTTCTGCACACCACAGGTCAAATCCGGCATCTTGCCCAGTGGTGGTGTGTTATAAAGCCTCTAAAACAAATCAGCATAGATCCTTCTTTAGTCTCTCTCCAAGGGGGATTCCACAGTATTGTTACTGCTGGAAAACCCTCTTCACCGCTATGAGGAGAGAGAGCTACTCACGGGCAGGCTGCGTGAGTTTTAGTCATTTTAAGATCTGATGGTTTTGAACAAGGTGGTGAATCCTTGCATATAGAAATTGCTCCTCTCTGCCTCACCATGTCTTTATGTAAGTGATAAGGGGTCCCAAAGTGGGGCAGGGGACTTACTTCCTTCACTTCAAAGTCCTAAGCATCCGGAGACCAACCTTTTTGGGTTCATGCCTAGCAGGCTCTGTCCGCTGTTCCTCATGCAAAAGGAAAGGAACACAGCCCCAGCATCCGGCCCCACTCTCCTCTGTTGGTCTGTGAGTTCTGTTCATCACTAAGAATGCCATTTGAGGATTTCCCCTCTTGCTTTTATTACCTTAACACTAGACAAGTGAAGAAGAAGAAGAGTTAGAGGAGGAGGAGGAGGACCTGGAAGAAGATAGGAAATCCACAAAAGAAGAAGAAAGTGAGGTGCCGAAGTCCCCGGAGCCGCCACCTGTCCCAGTCCTGGCTCCCACGGAGGGGCCGCCACTGCAGGCCCTGGGCCAGCCCTCGGGCTCCTTCATCTGTGAAATGCCCAACTGTGGGGCTGTAAGTGTCTCTGTGTCATCCGGGGATCTGGGACAAGGGAGGGCCATATAGCCGTGCCTGGCTTTAAGAGATGATGTATTTTCGAGAGTGCTCTTCCAACAATCACAGTTTGGCAGAGGGTGCTCCATGTTGCCATAGTTTTCTTCTTTGGCCAGCAGGTATTTCCAGAGTGTGTGTTCTGTGTCAAGCACAATGCTGTGTGCTGGAGAACACAAAGAAGGCCCCTGTGCCTAGCAAGTGTGTGATTCCAAGCTCTGCAGCCAGCGTTGGCCTCCAGAACATACATTCCACATTTCCTGGAGCTTCCGCACTCCCCCGGGCTGTGTGTCACACAAGCTTGTGCCCTGTCGACATGCATTTTAAATGTACTAGGAGAGCCTGCTGACAAAGATCATCCTTTATGACATAATTACTTGCCCCACCTCCTGCATTTTTACCTTAGAAGGTTTTGCATTTCACATTTTACAAAGTGTGACTAATTGAAATGTCACTAATTTAAAATTTGAGAACATTGTTACAAAGATGTAACTAAAGTTTATCCTTGTACTCTATGGCAGAGAAAAAAAAGATTTACTAAAAGTAAATTCATCATGTAAACAGGCTGAAAGGGACTGTGTCAATACTGAGCCTAGTACTTTTCAAGACTTTTCGAAGCATAATTTAGCTAAAATAAAACAAATTCACCATTTGGTCATTCTTAGCACTAAGGAAAGACCTTATAGTATCTGTGCTGGCCTTGTCTAAGGCTCCATGTATATTTTAAAGGATATTTTTAAAGGTTATTTCTCAGTCTCCCACCGGTCCCCCACTAGTCTGAATTAGTGAGCTTTCTCCAAATCAGGTTTCTTAAAGCCAGGCACACCTGTATAGGCAAGTTCTAAAGGGATTACCCCTCAAAATAATGTTGCCCCTTCCACAGGAAGCCCATTTTCCTCAAGTCAGTGTGCTTGTCTTTGCTCGTACTTGATGTAGGACCGTGCTGTTCTGCAGAGTATACTGAATGCTGCTTATTAAGTCTGTCACTTAGATGGAGAAGGCAACAGTCTTTAAAATATTTAGATCCTAAACCAGAAATTCATTTGATTTGCATTTAAGAAAAAGTGAAAAAAATTTTTTTTAAAAAAAGATATATACATTTTCCATTCACTGTTCACTATGGAGAGAACAGAAGAGATTGCTGGCTTGTTTTCCATCTTTTATGTTTAATGACCTGGCCATTTTGTATAGAGTGTTCAGTGCAGGCATGATTACGGTAATGATTTTAAGTGATGGTATTTCTTGGTGAATTTGTTCAGAAATTGGATGCCTCCTCAAATCACGGTTCTATGTACAGTAAATTGTTTACCAAATGGGAAGTTATTTTTTACTTTTCCCAGTCAAATGCTCAGCAAGGTAGATATTTTCCTGTTCCAATTTTTCTGTACATAAAAAAAGAAAAAAAAACATTTTTTTTTTCTGAGATGGAGTTTTGCTCTTGTTGCCTGGGCTGGAGTGCAATGAATGGCGTGATCTCAGCTCGCCACAACCTCCACCTCCTGGGTTCAGGTGATTCTCCTGTCTCAGCCTCCAGAGTAGCTGGAATTACAGGTACCACCACCACGCCCAGCTGTTTTTTGTATTTTTAGTAGAGACAGGGTTTCACCATATTGGCCAGGCTGGGCTTGAACTCCTGACCTCAGGTGATCTACCCACCTCAGCCTCCCAAAATGCTGGGAACACACACTTGAGCCACTGTTTCCGACCAAAAGAAAAAAATGTTTTAAAATGACTTTTTAAAATCACAGTGGAAAAAGCATGGTGATTTTTATTTTATTTTATGTTATTCCTTGCCTAACGATGGAAGCTTTGGCTGCTAAGTCAGCGATAGGTTTAAACCTAAAGAGAGCTCATAAACCTAACACAGCAACTACTACAGCTAGACAGCCAGTAGGTACTCCCCTTAGCTGAGGAGTTTAACAAGCTGGGAGTCAGGGCTCTTGGGATTCAGGGACACGGATTTACATCCCTTTATAGCGATGGTTCTGAACTGGAGATGATTTGTTCCCTAAGAACATTGGCAATGTCTAAAGATATTTTTGTCATAAATGGGGAGGTGCTACTAGCATCTGGTAGTCAAACGCCAGAGATGCTGCTAAACATCCTATGCAGCAGAGTCCCCCACCCATCACAACAAAGAATTATCCAGCCCAAAATGACAGTAGTGCTGAGGTTAAGAAACCCAGCTTTATGGCAGGCTTTTAAAATACTGCCCAGATCCTTTCTCTTTTTCTCATTCTGTATTAAAATTTGGGGGTCTTAAACATTGCTTCAACAACGGGCTACTGATTAAGGCAATATATAACATAGAATATGTCAGAAAATCTAATCATTGTCTTTCAAACTGGGTTCCTTAGAGAGCTAGGGCTTCCTGGGGGTACTCAGAGCTGAGCAAACAGGCCCAGTTCTGCAGCACTGTCTCCATTCTAGCCAGCGCACCTCTGCTTTTAACTTGAGCCTGTGTTTTTTGAGTAAGACCTGATTTGTTTAAAAAAGATAAAGGAAGGGAGGGAAAGAGGAAGGAAGGGAAAAAATGGGAGGGAGGGAAGGAGGTAGTTATCAGCTTTTTTCAAAGTTTGAAAGCTGGTCCAGCTCCCGCATTTTTCAGATGGAAAAAAATATACAGAAGGGAAATGGCCCAACAGCTTTAGTTATAGTGGAGCTAAACCCCTGATGTCTTGACTTCTAGACAATAGCTTTGTCCTTTATCCTGTGCCACATTGCCTCTTCTCTTCTGGTTATAGCAGTGATGAGGTTTTGATTGGCACAGCATTTGTGGTTGTCGTATTTGATCTTTACCTTTTGTAGCATATGCCCAAAGTTTGCTTATATAAACCCTTGTGCCCTGTCATTACAGTTTCAAGTATGCCATGTTTACCACTGAGTAACTAATAACCCTAATTTCCTTTTCAGGACTGTAGATGTCATGTCACTCCATTTCTTCCCCAGGTGTTCAGCTCCCGACAGGCACTGAATGGCCATGCCCGCATCCACGGGGGCACCAACCAGGTGACCAAGGCCCGAGGTGCCATCACTTCTGGGAAACAGAAGCCTGGAGGTGCCCAGAGTGGGTACTGTTCTGTAAAGAGCTCACCCTCTCACAGCACCACCAGCGGTGAGACAGACCCCACCACCATCTTCCCCTGCAAGGAGTGTGGCAAGTAGGTGCAGGGGACCAGGGACTGAATCTGAGTTCATGATGGATAATTGCTCTATGGGGGCTGGGCCAGGATGGCCTGAGGTTTCTTCAATCAGAAAAAGAACGTAGACCTCAAAACTCTTCTTCATACCATCTTTGGGATGGATATGTAGGCTTCGCTGCAGATTCAGAATATGGCCCTTCTGTTATCTTAGAACCTTGTAAGGATGGATCTCTTCAGAGAGTGAACCTCTAGTTACAAAACTTTACTCTTTCCCAGAAATGAAAGGTGGGACTCTGGTTCCCACTCCTTTCCTTCACACCCAAGCTATATTCACTAGCATTACTCTTGCTGCATCCCTGCTGAATGGTTTGAGAATAGCTCTAGAACACTTAATCAGGAACTCTCTATAACACAGGTGGCTCATACATGATACTCCTACCACTATCGCTTACTTCCATGCCCAGGACAGACATCACTAATCAATCACCACACTCTTTGCTATCACGTTAAGACAGAGCCTCAAATACTTTTCATTGTCATGCTTCAAGTTGCATAACCAACTGATCAGAGTTGATACATGAAATAAAACCTATTTGTTATCCTGCCCTTTTAGGTATAATTTAAAACAAGAACTAAAAAGGAAAAGTGACATGCGATAGTAATTATAATAGCTAACATTTACTGAGCACTTATTTTGTTACATGCGTTATTTGTATGAACTCATTTAATCTTTACATAAAAACTCCATGTGATACAGATACTGTTTTTTATCCTTGTTTTACAAATAAGGATTTAAAAATTAGGTAAAATGACTTGCCCTAAGTCGCACTACCAGTAAAGGGAAGAACTGAGATTTGAACCCAGTTTCATTCAAATGCAGACCTGGGCTCCTGACAACTGCTCTGTCCTTTCGGTTTATTTGCTTTAGGTAGAAAATGTCATTGATGGTAAGATGGATGATTCCCTCCCACAGCCTCCTGTAGAGAATTCCAGTGTACTTCCCAATGAGTCCACCTGACTGGAAGGGTACTACATTGTCACAAATTACCTCCTTTAGGAGCCTTGCTGAGTTCCTCTTCCCATAATTCCCAGTGCCTCCAGCATGAAGAGGAGTATTACCTGGAAGAGATGCTGCCCAGGTGGCTTCTGAAACTTTACCAGGGAAACATTTCTAGTTGCATAAGGAGGGCCAGGTGGGACCTTTCCTTGTACATCCCCACAGGTAGAGCAGGCAACTTAATGGCAACTGCTGTTTAACAGGTACACTCAGTATGTGCCTGGCACTGTTTTAAAGGATTTTTTACATGTTTTAGACTGTTTTATGTTGCTACAACAGAATGTCACTGACTGGATAATTTATAAAGAAAATAAATTTATCTCATAATTCTGGAGACTGGGAAGTTCATGGTTGAGGGACCTGCATCTGGCAAGGGCCTTCTTGTTGAGTCACCCCATTGCAGAAGGGCAGAGAGAGGCGAGAGAGAGCAAGAGACTGAACTTGCAGCCTCATACCCGATTATAATCGGCACAAATCCATTCATGAAGGTGAGGCCCTCCTCACTGAAACACCACCCATTGGGCCCCACCTCCTAACACAGCTGCATTAAGGATTCCATTTTCAACACGTGCTGTTTGGGGGACACATTGCAACCCATAGCACGTGTACCGATAAAGCTTTAAAGTAGCTCTGTGAGGCAGGTACTTTAAGGAGCTGCTTTTTTAGAGGCAGAAACTGAGGTACAGAAAGGTGAAGCCTCTGTTGCAGTTCGTAGCAAGTGACCTAGTGGGGATTCAAACCATGCAAGCTGGCCTGGCCTTGTGCTCCTGGCTCTATGCCCATGCTGCCTCTGACTAAACCCAGCTTGGTGGTACCCACCAAAGTGAACTGGAACTAGAAGATCACTTACCCCTGTGAAGCGCAGGGATGGGAGAGGTGGGATTCGGTGTTGGTCTCCTCCACACTCGGCTGTCCTTCCAAGCTGGCCATGCTGTCATTTTCACATCACCACCCACCACACATTGGTGCGCCGTGGAAGAAATAGGCCCTCGGATTGATCTTAAGGCTTATTCAATTGAAATGATGATGGAGCCACCCTCAGCTGACTCTCAGTGATCTCCCACCTGTTTGTCCTGGAGTGGCAGTGTCAGGGTATCAGGGTCTTGTCAGTTTCCCCTGAGAGGAGCCAGCACCTCCCACTCATTAGGCTCAAACGGGCTAAAACTCTACCTTCCACCAGGTGGAGACAGAGGACGATTTGACAAACAGAAATCAGTATTTCATGTTTCTCAGCCATTTCTGTGGCATCTATTAAATGGTTTTTTGGGATCTTGTTCTTATGTTGCTTGGTAACTTTTTCTACGAGAAATCCAGTTACGATTTCATGGACAATACAGATGGTTTCTGTGGTTTTTCCTAACTCGGAATAACATTAGGCAAATATTCACAAAATATGTCTTACAGCTGCTGAAATTATGTCTGTTACATTTAACCATTTTCAGTGTGTCTAAGTAGAATTGTAGTTTATTAGCCCTATTTGACTCGGGCCTTAGAAATCAGCTGTTATTTTTGTTTTTTGGTTATTTCCTTATAAACATTCTTACACCTGGGCACACTTCTCTGAAAACACATCCAGATAGTTAATATTTGAGACTTTGTGGGCTGTACTCTCTTTGTCATAACTGCTCAGCTTTGCCACTGCAGCATAGAAACAGCCATCAACATTACATAAACAGACATGGCTGTGTGCCAGTAAAACTTTTTTCACAAAAGCAGTTGGGTTCGTCCCACTGACCATAATTTGCAGACCTCTCATCTTAAGAATTAACCCCAGAAATATATCCTTTTATCCCAGGGTTTCTAGACGTCAGCACTGTTGGCATTTCCAGTCTGCTAATTCCTTGCTTGGGGAAGAGGGAGTGTCCTCTGTGTTGTAGGATATGTAGCCATTCTGATAATATCATGGCCACCAAAAGGGTCCTTAAGTGAAAGGGCGTAGACGTAGATCAGATGTCAAGTACAATAATGACAGGGGCCACTGGATTTGACCACACAGAGTCACTGATGACCTTGAGACTGGCAGGGGACAACAGTCTACTTGGAGATCCTTCAAGAATTTTGACTGTGGGCTGGGCGCAGTAGCTCACACCTATAATCACAACGCTTTGGGAGGCCAAGGAAAGAAGCTCAATTGAGGCCAGGAGTCAGAGGCCAGCGTGGGCAACATAGCAAGACTCCATCTATGCAAAATATTTAAAAATTAGCTAGGCATGGTGGTGTGTGCCTGTAGTCCTAGCTAATTGAGAGGCTGAAGTTGGGAAGATCACTTGAGCCCAGGAGTTCAAGGTTATGGTGAGCTATGATCACACCACTGCACTCCAGCCTAGTCAAGAGAGACACACTGTTGAGGAACAGGGACAGAGGTGGGTTGTTTCATGATGGGGACTATCAGGGCTCATTAGCATGATCTGGGAGATTCTCCAGCGGAGAGAGCATGGTCCATAATGAGGAGAAGGAGGAGGCTGAAGGAGAAAGGGTCTGTGCTCCAGACTCCTGGTGGACAGGACGCCCTTGAGAATTCCTCCTCCACTGTCACAGGAATGAAGACTGAGGCACAGTCAGCGTGTTCTGTCCCCATCCCTTTCCTTGTAATGCTTGGAGAGGAAGGAAGAGAGGTGACAGGTCATGGGGGAAGGAGGTCCTAGAAGCTGAGCAGCCAGGGACTCTGTCAGACCACGCACCCCCATTCCCCAAAGGACACCTGGATTTCCAAGAACTCAGATATCCTTCTAAATTCTACACACCTCTCTTTATTTTTAGAGTCTTCTTCAAGATCAAAAGCCAAAATGCGCACATGAAAACTCACAGGCAGCAGGAGGAACAGCAGCGGCAAAAGGCTCAGAAGGCGGCTTTTGCAGCTGAGATGGCAGCCACGATCGAGAGGACTACGGGGCCCGTGGGGGCGCCGGGGCTGCTGCCCCTGGACCAGCTGAGTCTGATCAAACCCATCAAGGACGTGGACATCCTCGATGACGACGTCGTCCAGCGGTTGGGAGGTGTCATGGAAGAGGCCGAAGTCGTGGACACCGATCTTCTCCTGAATGATCAAGATTCAGTCTTGCTTCAGGGTGAGGCAGAACTATAAAGCCCTATGTGGCGCTTGAAGACAGTGGAAACCCACGGCCTCCATCTTCATTAATCAGGAAACCTGGACTGCCTGCTTGTTTTGTAACCCTTTTAAACTACCTGTTTTAAAAGTGGTCATTTTATTCAGGTTTAGAAAAAAAAATCCCATTTCTTTTCCTTTTATTTAAAAAAAAAAATTGTTTTTGTGGGGGGTTGGGGGAATAAATAATTGGCACAACTATCTTTAAGAGGTGTTTCATCTGGGCTACCTTCTCATGAAATCATTCCCAGCAGGGAATGAAGCTGACCTTCATGTTCCATTGCGTTCAGATGTCAACCATCCCGGTTGCCTTTTATCCCAAAGCTTGCTGTGAGAGTGTGTGTGTGTGTGTGTGTGTGTGTGTGTGTGTGTGTGTGGTGTGAGGCAGGCGACCCTCTTAGTGCTGAGGCCTTGGGGCCATCTTTTCCCACAAAGCGTTATTTTGATTCTGTTCTGACCTCATTCTGTAGTTTGCAGTGAGCATGGCATCTTTGCCTGGAGATTCTATGCTAGGGGCAGCTTTCCAGGGGCAAAGCAAGCCCTCGTGTTACACAGCTCTCCTCCAGCACACACGATGTGTGAGGAGATGACCAAATGTGAAAATAGGTTTCCCCTGAGTTGCCTCTCATCCTTTGGCCCGTGTGCAGAAATGGAGTACTGTATAATTTTAGGCTTTCACTCCAAGCAGTGTTTGCTGAGGACCTGGTTTTCTAGAGCAGGTGCGTCCTGTTCTCTTCCGTGTTCCCTGGGGTCTGGTCAGTTCCCTGTGGGTGGCAGAGCTGTGTTCAGCATGAACTGACTAGAGACCCATCTGCAGCCATGTATTAAGTTGCCAGGACTGCTTTCACTTTAGGGTGATTGAAGGGCACACATTGAAGTACCTAGAATGCCAGAAACTGTTCTTTTGCCCAAAAAACAAATCAGAAAAGCAACACTGTTAATGATTAGTGGAGTTCTGAAATTACTTTGTGCCACTTAGAAGTACCGTGAGACCTCATTCACTGGGATTTTGCTGTAATTCACATCCGCTGGACTAAAGTTTACTTGATGGTAGCTGTAAGAAATAGTTTTCTCATACATATGATAGCAAATACAAGACAAATACCATTGAAGGCCAACAAAGATGGCTTCAGACACACTTTTAGCTATAGTGTCTGCATTCAGACAATGACTGTATTCATTACAAATCACTTACCAAAGCACTTCTAGACTTCTCTAACCTCCATGACTTTGCTCTGCTTCCTCCTGTCCCTGTCAGCAGGGTTGCTGTTTGTACTTGAAGGTAATAAACCTGTAATCCTTCAAAAATGCCATTTAGCCCCAGGCTTTTGAGCTGAGTCAGACTGACCCATCCCACCGTTAGGGCAAAACTCAGGCTGGGACACAGCCCCAGTGCAGAGAAGATCCTGCTTCACGCAACTCCCCTTTCAGAGTTAACGCTGCGTGATTTCCTGGGTGGGTGTTTTCAGGACTTGCCCACCCCAGGTATGCTGGTTCCCAGCTCCATGTAAGTGTGCCTGTCACACTGGGCCACTTTGCTGGCACATTCATAGCTTGACATGAGAGAGAGTATCAGCAGAAGCATGACAGTAGGACCTGGCGTCTTTGACTCTGCAAAAGCTTTTAGCACACATGAGAGGCACCAGCTGTGACCCGCAGCAGCCCCACACAGGCTTCAGGAAAGCCATGGGCGGAAGAAAAAATAAAACTCTTTTCCATCATTCTGTTTTCAAAGAAGAGGTCTTGGCACTTTCTTACATCTTTTGTTTAGAGGGAAAAAGAAGTTTCATTTGCTGCCATTTCAGAAAGGTTATGCTATCTTGTTTAATCCAAGTAGTTGTGAGTCAAGAGCTGCCTGGGCAGTGTGCACCAACTTTGTAGCCAAACCATTACAGCTGTCATATCCTTGGCTGATCGTCTCTCCCGGGGACTAGTGCCCCCCACTTGGCAAGTGTCTGAGGGTGAGCTAGAAGGGTGCTGCTACTGGGTCTATAGAAGTTTATCTATCAAAGGAGCAAACATCCAGAAAAGCGTTTATAAAGCAAATGTATTGCCTCTGTTTGGAGATTTGCCCAGCTGTTCCAGTTTTAAACATTAAAAAATAAACTCAGTTGCCATGGCAAAAATAGAATGCACAACTTACTTTTAATTTTCCATGCAGTATAGCATAAGGATTTTTGACTTGAAACAACCAAAGAACTCCTCCTTAACGAGACAGTTCGAATTCCTGAATTAGTGTTTCCTGACTATCAACTTAAAGAACGGACTTCCTAGTACAACATTGCACTTCTTTTTTTTTTCTGAAATGATTCTGCCTGCATGTATGTGTTGTGTTTTAGCTTCTCCCCTGACCCCACCCCAAAGAACTTTTCTTCCTAATGGTTATGTCTTCAACTTGGTTACTGTTTACTATCAGATGGTTTTTCATTAGTGAATTTAGACCTCTTTGAGAAAGCTTGTATATAAAAAGTTAACAGATATATTTTATGGAAAAACCCATCTTATTTTCAAATATATTTAACTGCTGTTATATTTTATTAGAGGAAGGTTGTAAATATTTTCTAGGAGTTCTATTGTAAAGAAAAGTATTTTTGAAAAAAACTAATGTAATAAAAAGGAAAACATTTTTAAATAGTAGTTGTGATAGCTTCCTGTTCTGGCTTCGTTATGTTCTATTCTCAGCAGATGAATTGCATGCCTTCCATATCAGGATGTAATTTATTCAGGTTTGCACTATTATAAGTTGACATCATAATATCCAGTGTGCTTAACTGTATTTTCCTGGAATGCAAGTCCTTTGGTCCACATTAAAGCACTATGTATAGCATATTCATAATTTTTTTGTAATGTGTGTATTTTTAATAAGGATTTTATGTAACATTTTGGCAAAAAGAGGACAGTATTTTCTAGTGAATTTTATAATAACATTTTGCTAAAAATGTTTCTTCCTAGGTCAGTTTTTGTTAAGGTGAACCAAAAGTCTTATTTTACCAGGGGTTTAAAAAAAGTTTGAAGCTTGAAAGCAAAGTTATATTTAAACATCATATGTAACAAATAAATAAAGATGTTTTATAGACTTGTCCTAAAAAGGTGCATTCCTTAAAAAAAAAAAAAGAAAAAGAAAAGGAAAGAAAGAAACTGGGGCATTCTAGATTGTTTCCCATCTGAGTGATAAGCATTTTTTTTTTTAATTATCACAATGCTTCTTCAGAAAGAGACCCAGGGAAATTTTATTTAACACATTCTAATCATTAGCCTTCTCAGAAAGTTATTACAGTTCCTATAGATGGGCATTCATCAAATGGAGATGTAACCAAATAAACACTGTCATATTTATTTGTGAAAACCTGATTCAATATTGCATCAGCTGCTCTGAAAATAAAATATTATCTTTTTGCGTTTCGTTTGCCTTAAATATTTCTTCTTTCTAGCCACTGCTATGACTTCTCAGTGCTGGATAAATGCTAGTTTCCCTGTTAATTGGTTTCTGTAGGCAACAAGTTTAAGTCTGCTGATCAAAAATGTAATGCTCATTATTAAAGTGTCCCCCAGGGCTGGGCGCGGTGGCTCAAGCCTGTAATCCCAGCACTTTGGGAGGCCGAGGTGGGTGGATCACGAGGTCAAGAGATCGAGACCATCCTGGTCAACACGGTGAAACCCCGTCTCTACTAAAAATACAAAAAATTAGCTGGGCATGGTGGCGCGTGCCTGTAATCCCAGCTACTCAGGAGGCTGAGGCAGGAGAAATGCCTGAACCCAGGAGGCGGAGGTTGCGGTGAGCCGAGATCGCGCCATTGCACTCCAGCCTGGGCAACAAGAGCGAAACTCCGTCTCAAAAAAATAAATAAATAAATAAATAAAGTGTCCCCCAACTCCAGACACCAGCGGTGGATGAAACACTTGGGGACTTGGTGGTCTCTAAACCTTATGACTCGAATTGTGATTCAAGGGAGCACACTGTGACACACAGGTGTCTTACACTAAATCCTCCACAATATCTAAGTCCACCCTGATTTATTTGCATTTTAAATCTGCATTTCCAAATTCGAGTAAGTATGTTTACTTTTTTTTCTTTTTGTTCTGCCTGGAGTGCAGTAGCACAATCTTGGCTCACTGAAGCCTCCACTCCTGGGTTGAAGCAATTCTCATGCAACAGCTCCCAAGTAGCGGGGATTATACAGGTCATGGACCACCACACCTGGCTAATTGTATTTTTAGTAGAGGCGGGATTTTACCATGTTGGCCAGGCCGGTCTCAAACTCCTGGCCTCAAGCAATCTGCCCAAAGTGCTGGGATTATAGGTGTGAGCCACCACACCTGGCTGTATGTTTGCTTTTTCATGGTCAACAGAAAACTATAGAACATTGAAATTCTGTATTTTATTTTATTTATTTTTTATTTTTTCTGAGACAGAGTCTTTCTCTGTCGCCAGGCACCAGGCTGGAGGGCAGTGATGCAATCTCAGCTCACTGCAACCTCCGCCTCCCAGGTTCAAGCCATTCTCCTGCCTCAGCCTCCCAAGTAGCTGGGACTTCGGGCGCACGCCACCACACTTAGCTGATTTTTGTATTTTTAGTAGAGATGGGGTTTCACCATGTTGGCCAGGATGGTCTTGATCTCTCAACCTCATGATCCGCCCGCCTCAGCCTCCCAAAGTGCTGGCATTATAGGTGTGAGCCACTGTGCCTGGCCTTGAAATTCTGTATTTTATACAAAATTTGCTTTAAGTGGGGAATGCCTATTCAAGACCTTTATCTAGATTCTTTGGGGGAGGTGTTGTTTTTAAATTAATAGAGACACGGTCTCACTATGTTGGCCAGGTTGATCTCCTGGCTTCAAGCAATTGTCCTGTCTTGGCCTCCTGAAGTGCTAGGATTACAGGTGTGAGCCACTGTGCCTGGCCCTTTTTTTTTTTTTAACTTTAATTTTAGCTATTTACTTTAGACAACCTATATCAAATAAAATAGCTATTCCTCTAGAAACTGTGTGACTCAGCCAGTGTTGTAAATTTAAAGTCTACTTCCGGAGACCTAATTGGAAGATTTTTTTCTACTGTTACATTTATTCAGTGAGTCAATCCTCATGAGCCACCATGTACCAAGCATTATTCCATACTGTATTGTACATGGGGGAGGAGAGTGTATAAAGATGGCTGTACATGATTCCTTCCTGCCAAGGAATCAAGGAATTTAATACCTAGAAAGACATATGGGGGCCTTGGAACAGATCCAATTCCAGCATTGAGAAGAGCACTATCAATATTCAGAATCATCTCACTGCCACCCACATTTACACAGCAATTTATAGCAGGTGCTCAGCAACTATTTGTTCAATGAGTTACCTCTCCAGTCCTCAGGTATGCTCATCCCTGTGTGTGTTCAGCAGAGAGAGAATGTGTGTGTAAATAAAACCTCTTTGAGGTTTACTTAAAGCCAATTCTGAATTCCATTTACTCCCCGTCTACCATGCTCAGCCAGCACCAGCGAGCTGAGATGTGCTCTAGGAATGCGGATGACTGTTCATGTTGACATAGCAAAGCATAATTTGGAAGACATTTTAAGAAATTGAATAATATATTCCTAAGAGAACCATAAGTGATCTCTGAATTGCAGATATCCCTGTGTAAAGGAGCCAAAGGGCTGATTGCTTCCTTTATGTAAGAAAGAATCTTTTGGTAAGGGCTGTCTTTAAAAACAGAACAACTGGCACAATCAAATTATGATTAACTGTAAAATATTTGATGTATCTATGTTTATTTTTTCTGGACATAAAGCAAGGTTTACTTGCATCAGCTATCTAAAATCACTGGACTCCTGCTCATCTACATGTGTTCGGATGTCTGGAAGTTTAGGCTGTAGGAAAGAGACCCTTAATGGATAGGCCAAGCTTCAGAATGCTGTCCATGCCCACACCTCATGCCAAAGAGTAGGGCTCACAGCCCAACTCTTGGCAAAACCTGATGTTGCCTCTTACAGTGACTGCCACCTAGGCCCTAGGAAGTTGGCACTTGACGCAAACCATGAGGTCCATATGCTGTGTGGTGACACATTTGGCTCAGCCCAGGAAGATGAGAGGACCAAATCAAATTCCCACATTTGAGAATATGAATGGAGAAACTTGGTGAGCCAAAAAGCAGCGAGCAGTGGCCACGCAGAGTCCTGAGAGAGCAGAAACTATTGGTAAGCAGTGAAAGCCCATCATTAAAAAGACCGCATTTGGCTTCAGGAGTGAAGAGGGTATCCAGTCCCTAAGACTGTTTTGAGTATACCTTTCCAGTTCCAGGAGCTGTCCAGACCACACAAGTCTTTAAAAATAAACCCCTATTTCTTTTGGAATGGTGCTAGGGTGGTGGGTGAGTATTTCTGGTTTTATTATCCAAGAGATTTAAATAGAACTGAACTGCATCATAGAATCAGCCCCAGCCCGCTGCAGAGGTAGAAAGGGCACTGGTTGTTTTGTTAATACAGAGTCTTGCTCTGTCGCCAGGTTGGAGTGCAGTGGTGCGATCTTGGCTCACTGCAACCTCTGCCTCCTGGGTTCAAGTGATTGTCCTGCCTCAGCCTCCCAAGTGGCTGGGACTACAGGCATCCACCACCACATCTGGCTAATTTTTGTATTTTTAAGAGAGATGGGGTTTTGCCACATTGGCCAGGATGGTCTCGATCTCTTGACCTCATGATCCGCCTGCCTCAGCCTCCCAAAGTGCTGGGACTACAGGTGTGAGCTGCCGCGCCCAACCAGACACCACTTTTAAGATGGTTATTGGTTTAGCTGTAACTAACTTACCACATGACCTTGAGTGAGTGAGTCATTTCACATTGGTTTCCTCATCTATAAAATCAGGACAAAATCCATGTCTTCTGGTGAGGACTCAGAGTAGGTAACTTAGGTGAAAGTCATTTACAAGCATTACGGTTGCAGAACATTTATCCAGCTGAGGCTACTCAAAGGGGACAGAGGCAGGCCGAGGAGCCCTCACAGAAGTGCTATCTGGACAGACTGATGCAAACTTTGGAAGCAGCAACAGAACTGGGGGTGGAGAGGCTGTTGGAAAACCCCATTGGCTAAGGGAAATCCCCTTAAATGTCACAATTCACAGAGAGAACCTGATTCTGAGAAGGGCACTGAGCAGCCTGCCAACATGGGGCATCGCTGAGTGCAGCAGAAGTGCACACAGGCTAAGTGTGCGCTATTTCCATACTCTGGTGCAAGGCCACTCTGGAATCTCTGCCACACCTCAACACGGACTGAACTCTAATAAACAGAAGCCAGCCTGAAGGGCAGGAAAACTGGTTTCTGCTCCTAGACCTTTTCTATCTCCTAGATAGGTGTGTTGTTGGACAAACTATTCTGCCTCTTCTTTGGTTCTCTTGCCTGCAAAATAGGGTAATAATAATTTTGTGGGAAGAAAAAAAACAGCTTTATATTTGTACAATTCTTTTTTTCTTTTTAGACGGAGTCTTGCTTTGTCGCCAGGCTGGAGTGCAGTGGCACGATCTTGACCCACTGCAACCTCTACCTCCAGGGTTCAAGCGATTCTCCTGCCTCAGCCTCCCAAGTAGCTAGGACTACAGGCACGCACCACCATGCCAAGCTAATGTTTGTATTTTTAGTAGATTTAGGGATTTCACCATGTTGGCCAGGATGGTCTTGATCTCTTGACATTGTGATCCGCCCACTACAAAATATTCTCACAAACTTGATCTTCTCAACAATCTTGTGAGGCAAGTGGGGTAGAAACTTCATGGCAGAAATAGTGGATAACATCTACAGTGTATCATTACATGGCAGGCATTGTACTAAACACCAGACATCGGTATCGCACTGAATTCCCACAGCAACTACTGGAAGTAGCAACTACTGTTATCTTTTTTTGGACATATGAGAAAACTGAGGCTCGGGGTGAGGAAGTAACTGCTCAAAGTCACTCAACTAAGTGGTAAACCTAGGATTAGAAACCAGATCTGAGTATAAGGCTAGAGTTTTCCTTTAGGCTAAAATGCATATATGAAAGCAATTTGGGAAAATAAAGCTTAGAAATGTGCACAAATGGGCCAGGTGCAGTGGCTAATAGCTGTAAAACCAGCACGTTGGGAGGCCAAGGTGAGAGGATTGCTGGAAATCAGGAGTTCGAGACCAGCCTGGGCAACATAGCAAGTCTCTGTCTCTACAAAACAATAACAATAAAATTTAAAATGACGGCAAACACCTGTAGTTCTAGATACTCCAGGGGTTGTGGTGTGAGGATCACGTAAGCCCAGGAGTTTGAGACTGCAGTGAAATATAATCAAGCCAGTGTTCTCCAGCCTGAGCAACAGAGTAAAACACTGTCTCAA